AATTTTTCTCCTTATGGCACCCGTACTGAGCAAGAGATCTCCTGTGTTCACTTTACAGCAGGGCAAACTGCTTGGCATGGGACCGAGAAACTAGTGGAAATCATTGTAGTAGTGGTGCCTATTAGAGTGATTCCCAGCTTCCAGGGGGATCAGCCAAGTATGGTATATACACACATACATTAGTCCAAGCTGGACCAATGTAACTGTGTAAAATTATCCATACTTGGAATTCTTTTTTCAGGGCCGGTTAACACCACATACAGTCTAGTGCATTTTTTTTTTTCCCGCTTCAAAAACTCATGGATAGTAGGTTATATGTTTTCCAATGGTATCGTTCACACCAATACAGTCAGTTCCAGAAAAAGTAGAACATGCTGCATTTTTTTCTGCACTGAACTGTACTGGAACGTGGTAAAACACACAGGAAAGCGCCTAAACTCACCAAAAACGCACCAGAATGCACATGTCCTTATTTAAGGTGAACGGGAGGGGGATAAAAGCTCGAACGCATCAAAAACGTGCATGCAGGAACTCATCTGGACCTTGTTCTATGTTGTGAATCGGCATCTTTCTTAAATGAATAATCAAGTAAGAGAAGCAGAGATCAAGTGTTTAGGTTTTAACACATGTGGCCCTCACTGTAGGGAGCCCGAGGCAGCACTTACCCTAACCTCCGCCCGCCATATAGGGCAATGACAGGCGCAAGGCGGTTCTCTCATTCTGGGAGGATGTCATAGGATGTCCTCCCATTCTGATCGCGCATGTGTGGCTCAGGGAGCGTGCGGCGATCGGCAGCTCGGTCATGTGATCAGCTTTGTCCAATCGCAGCTGATCGCATGTAAATAGGGAAATGCCGGTTATCGGCATTTCTCTCACGAGCTGGCACGCTGACAGCAGGAGAGGAGAGCCGGTAATCTGCATTCCTCGGAGGGGACATGTACACAAATCATCAGAGCACTGATGATCAGTGCAGCCCCAGCAGTGCCAGCTGTCAGTGCCCATCAATGCAACATATCAGTGCCCATCTGAGCTGTCAGTCAGTGCCGCCTATCAATGGCCATCAGTGCCATCTATCCGTGCCCATCACTGCAGCCTCATTAGCGCATATCGGTGAAGGAGAAAAATCACTTATTTACAAAATTTTAAAACAAAAACAGAGGAAAAGAGCTTTTTTTTTTCAAAATTTTCAGTTTTTGGTTTGTTTAGCAAAAAATAAAAAACCCAGAGGTGATTAAATACCACCAAAAAAAAGCTCTATCTGTCTCAAAAAAAATGATAAATATTTCATATGGGTACAGTGTTGCATGACTGCGCAATTGTCATTCAAAGTGCGACAGCACTGAAAGCTGAAAATTGGCCTGGACTGGAAGGGGGTATAAGTGCCCTGTAGGCTAGTGGTTAAGGCTAGTACACATGGGCTGAAAATCGGTTGGTTCAACAGAAACCCACTGCCATTCAGCCTGTGTGTACAACAGCCTGTCTGACAGAAGCATTTATCGAATGGAAAACCAGCATCTGATCAGCGCTTGCAGTGCTGATCAGTATGTTCTGGGGACGGTCCCCCTGTCAGAACATTGTAGCTCAGCAGGGGCGATCACTGCACTAACATTGCTTGGTTAGTACGGTGACCTCTCAGGTTTTTTCTTTTTTTTTTTTTTTTTTTTTTTTTTTCAACCCCGCTGGGTTGAATGGGGAAAAAAAAAAAACTCCCCGTGTCTACCTAGCATTAGGATATACATATTAAAAGTGAATTTTCACCTTGGATGTAAAAATGTAAAGATCATTAGCTATAAATACTGACTTAACAAAAACACAGACACCTGTCCAGAGATCCAGTGCCCACCTCACCCGATGGTACTTCGCTGGTTTTTGGGTCCCTAACTGTGGGAAGCTGGCTGTGACTCCTTGCAGCTTCACAGGTGGCTCCCCACTGCACATGCCACGCTGCATCCTTTGGTCCCACAGCCTCCTGGGACCTGTGATGTGTCTTGAGAAGCTCTAAGCAGAGAGGGGGGGTGCCAAAGTTCCACTCCGATCGCCTAGAAAGTCGGAGCAGAAGTGAGAGGGGTCAACTATCAAAACTAGGTACCTGCTACCCCAAAAAAAAAATATTTCAGATATTATAGAGGGGGGAAGAGGAAAAAAAGTGGAACTTTCCTTTTTGGGTAAAGTTCCGCTTTAAGTCCTTTTTTGTTACCTTTTTAAAGAATATGTAAAGCCCAAACCTTTTTTTTTTTCTTTTTATTTCTGTCTGTGGCCTGTTGGGGAGATTTCCCTTCACTTCCTGTTCTAGAGACACCAGTGTCTGTGGAGTGTCACTGAGCACCGTTCCCTGTTAGGGTGACCATTGTGACAAAGAAGGATGATGGGGAGGTTATGTAAGTAGATATTGTCCATTGCTGAGGACAAAGGCCTTATTAAACTGACTTGGAATCTCTGGGAACGTGAGCCAATAAGGCAGTTCTTGTCCACCTACTCAGCACATACACCCCATTTACTATGTTATTATCGTTATTTATGTTACACTGGTAAGACGGGTGGAAACTTCCAGTACTGTGGGTGTATGGCTGATGACCTCCTTATCTGATGATGAACAGCTGTGGAATACAGTCCAGCTAGAAGGACGGACGTGTCTGAGCACAGCAGCCTTCTGACAGTTCACAAAGTCTGTAGTAGAGTCACGGGTAGCCATTGTAACCAATCAGACTGTTCTTACTTGGTCAGGAAGAATGAACGCTACAGACTGGTTGTTTGCAATGAGGTTGCTCATAATGTCTGCATGAAGAACTGAACTCTAAAAGCAAGGAGAGGTTAAATGACTATTGTCCAGTATTGCCTGTGGTCTCTGTGCTGCTGTTGTTTTCTCGAATACGGACTTACCATGGCTTGTTCTGCATTGTGGGGGGTAGCCATCTTGGTAGAGGCAGGGCTTTGTTTCCTCATGTCAGAACCTGCAGCAAGGACAACAGTGAGCAGCACAATAGGGACATCACTGAGTTGCACTCCAAATCTTCTGAGACCAGCAGTTAGAGGCAACAGTGCCTTAGATTGCACACTGCAGATATACAGCTATGAGGCTGTAGGTATAGGAGTGCCTAGGTACACTCATACCAACAGTGCCTTAGATGTCACACTGCAGATATACAGCTATGAGGCTGTAGGTACAGGAGTGCCTAGGCACACTTGCATATTAACAGTGCCTTAGATGTCACACTGCAGATATACAACTGAGGCTGTAGGTATAGGAGTGCCTAGGCACACTCACATACAACCGTGCCTTAAATGTCACACTGCAGATATACAGCTATGAGGCTGTAGGTCCAGGAGTGCCTGGGTACACTCGCATTCCAACAGTGCCTTAGATGTCACACTGCAGATATGCAGCTATGAGGCCGTACGTACAGGAGTGCCTGGGCACACTTACATATTAACAGTGCCTTAGATGTCACACTGCAGATATACAACTATGAGGCTGTAGGTACAGGAGTGCCTAGGCACATTAAAAATGCCTTTTTAGATGTCACACTGCAGATAAACCATTATGAGGCTGTAGGTACAGGAGGACCTAGTCAAACTTACATGCCATTAGTGCCTTGGATGTCACACCAGATTTACAGCTATGAGGCTGTAGGTACAGGAGGGCCTAGGCACTCTCCCATATTTAACAGCACCTTAGATCTCAAACTGCAGATAAACAGTTATGAGGCTGTATGTACAGGGAGTGCCCAGGCACACCCACATATTGTATTCCAAATCTCCTGAGACCTACAGTCAGAGTCAACAGTACGTTAGATGTCACACTGCAGATATACAGTTAGGCTGTAAGTACAGGAGTGCCTAGGCATGGTCATATACCAACATTGCCTTAGGTAATATTTTTCATATATACAGCTATGAGGCTATAGGTGCAGGAATGCCTAGGCATGCTCACATACCAACAGTACCTCATATGTCACACTGCAGATATACTGTACATCTATGAAGCTGTAGGTACAGGAGTGCCTAGGCACACTCGCATAGTAACACTGCCCTAGATCTCAGACTGTAGATTAGGGTGTGTACAGGGAGTGCCTAGGCACACTCACATTTTAGAACGCGCACTACTACTTTTCAGGAGGCATCCCAGACACAAGGTTGGGAACAAGAATAGGTATTTCTGTCTCTTCGTTTGCTCTATGCCGGTTTCAGGGTTGCAACCCAAAAATATATTAAAAGCAGCTGCCAGGCAACTGCCATTTTCATGAAGAGTTGACATTGGTTTTTCCCATGAACTCAGGGCAGTTGTAGAAAAAAAAAAACAATATAGTGGTGAAATAATTTTAAACAAAATGTATTTAAATGCAGCAAATGTAAGCGTCTGAATTTGTCTTCATATCGACCTGTAACCCCCTGGAGAGGAGCACTTATACATGGAGCTGCAGGAGCCAATCAGGCTCTGCTGCAGTGCACATGTGCTGCCAGGAGGAGTGAGCAGAAAGGTGACACCACCTATCAGCGTCTTTTTTTTTTTTTTTTGTCCAGGATATCTTTTCACACAATTCCTTTGGCAGGTAAAACCATTTCCATATATGATAAAGTCGTCTTATTATTATTTTGTCAAATGTCACACACATTCCATGCAGGCTGTGTACATTTTGGGTGTAATTTCTGCAACAGATTATTTCCTACAATCATTACCTCCATCTAGTACTCAAAATGCAGTATGGTTTTCTCATTGAGGAATTTCAGTGCTATATTGTATTTTTGACACTAGATGGAGCTGACAATCAAAGGAATGAATCTATTACAAAAATTTGGGCCGATTAATACAGCCTACTCGAATGTGTGTGTGACATTCGTCCAACAAAAGTTTTATAAATGGACCCTAAGTGTTTATTTAGGTGTTTGTGTGAAATTATGATTTTAAATGTTTCCTCTGATTTTTGTTTACACCTAGAATGTCAAAATCCTCTTGAGGTACTTTAATCTTCTTCTTTTTTTTTTTCTCTTTCTTTGCAGTGAAAGAATTCCTAGCCAAAGCAAAGGAAGACTTTTTGAAGAAATGGGAAAACCCAGCACAGGTAACACCTCTACAGCTCCATACACTGTGCATATTGATTCACATACTAAATACACAGGGGCAATTCATAAATAGGACTTCCCAGGATATAATATATTTCTATGGTATGGTTTCCACTCAGCTTTATAAAGATAGGTACATATCTGTGTTACCTGTATTATCTCTCTGGTCTGAAACTCCTGCTATCAACTCTTCAACATAGAATGCCTGTCTGATAAGGCATAGTTCTTAAACCCCAACTCTGGCCAGTGTAGAGATTAGGTGTTAAAGCAATTGAAGAGTCAAATGCCACCGCTTGTGATCGCTTTTTAGATTGCGGTACAGCAGTGGCTGCCAGTGACTTTTTTTAAAGGGCCAAATAGGCTTTTACCTGCAATTATCAAGGAAACACAAGGGGGCGAGCCTAAGTGCAGTATATATTGCATGTTTATTGAAATATAGACAAAATGCTACTCACAAATAGAGTGGATGTATGGGCATTGAATTAAGTCCCCAAAAGGACCTATACAGAGGCCGGTAGTCTCTAATGGTGCCCGGGTGTCAAATGTGGACTTGGGCTGTCAACGAGGGACGCCGCAACCACTGTGGAATGTATGGAAGACCGGACAAAAGTAGCGACCAATGGGGATGCGAAGACAAGTCATTTGATGAGTCTGGTGACCCGTTTCAAAGCTTCTGCTTTTTCTTCAGACCTAATAGGATGGCTGGACGATCACTCTTATATAGGAGGTGCTATAAAAGGGGCGTGCTGAGCATGGCCGATTTTATTAAGCAACATTCATAAAACAACATATAATATAAATATATATATACCAATAACTATCTTGCATGTCTCTGTGAATCTATCTATCAATCTCTGAAATTAAAAAAAAATATATATATATAAAATTTATTTATTTATTTATTTTGGATTAATATCAATAATAAATAGTATTAGATGGAGAACAAACATTATAAAAAATAATAAAATTAATAAATACTAATTGATAGTAAAAACTAGAAATTAGCTCAAAATCTATTCCTAAAGAAGAATTAGTAGAAAATATTTTATATAAATTTGAATGTATGGAAATAAGACGTAAATAAGTCATTTTGATTTTTATATATATATATATATATATATATATATATATATATATATATATATATATATATATAGGGTCTGTACATATAAGGGCCTATAAAACTGGAAACAATTGTATAAAAGATTAAAACTATAGATAATTGTATTATAGAATGGTATGAACGTCAATCTCTTCATTTAAACCTTTGGGGACGAGCGTGTCTAAAGTGTAAATCCAATAGGTTTCTTGCCTACATAATTGTTTGACTCCATACCAGAAAAATATTCAACAGCTGTATGATTCCGTTATCCACACTTGAAGATCATGAATTGATTTCTGGTGGTACTCAGAGAAATGTGGGTTCACTGTGTTTTGGATTGCTGTCTTGAACAAAACGTTGGCACTTGCCGAACCTTTTTCGGAGTGTTCTTATGGTTTGGCCGATGTATAACAAGCCACAGGGAAGGCAATATACCACATGAGTCGAAGAATAATTGTAAAACGAATTGATCGTGAAAGATTTTTACCATTTTGAAAGGAAGGTTTTTTTACCATGGAGCTTCCCCTTTTGGGTGGAACTTTTTTTTTGTAATGCAGTATTAAACCCTCAGGGTTTTTTAGTGATTTTTCAGTTAACAGTTTCAGTGCTGCTGTCTCAGTACTACTTCCCTGAACATGTGGTCTTCACACAAAACGGTTAACAGTGCAGTTTTCCAGTCAGTCTGTTAGCAGGGAAGTGCCATGCCATCTTAGGCTATGGGGCTATGTTTTTCTGTTGATACACACAGTGTAGGGAGACACAACCATAGTCCTGGCATGAATCCATAGGATGCTGCAAGAGAAAGAAGCCACCGTGTAACAGGAAAGCAGCAGTCAGGTCACCAGCTTAAACTGGAAGCTAGGCAAGGATTAAGAGAGAAAAAAAAAACAAAAACTTCATATTTAGTAGTTGATCAAATCAGCTGCTGAAAGTGCTTCTTAAAACTTCGGTTTTCATACCACTTTAAGTGAAATCAAACCAGGTTGAGATAACTTTGTATTGTATAGAATCTTTCATACACCACAGTACTGTCTCCAACCAGCATACCCCTCACCGTGCATCTTGTAATCTTAGTCCCCCTTATCTGTTCTTCTTTAGAACACTGCTCATTTGGACCAGTTTGAGCGTATTAAGACTCTGGGCACAGGCTCGTTTGGACGAGTGATGCTCGTAAGGCATAAGGAGAATGGACATCATTATGCTATGAAGATCCTGGACAAGCAGAAGGTAAGGCTTGTAACTGGATTCTCATCAATCTGATCTTATGTATTTAACCACTTCGTGCCAGCGCCTCCCTGCCCTTTAAGAGTTTCAGAAGCCTGGAGGCGGGCAGGGTTTTAGGGTCATGTGACTGCTGTGATTCGCCGTCACGGCGGTCACATGATCAGAAAAGGTCCCGATTGAAAGGGGAGATCGAGACCTTTCCGGGAGTCACGGACATATGTGCTGGGAGCGCACAGGGCGCGCGCTCTCAGCGTATATGTATTTTCTAACTGCGTGTAAATATTCGGCCGCTCGGCGTCAAGGCCCAGACTCTGAGAGGCTGCATATTTGCGTGGGCTTGGCATCAAGGGGTTAAAGGAAAAGTATAGTGTTTGTGTGTATACAGTGTTCAGCCATACCATGACCGCTGACAGGCAAAGTGAATAACATTGATCTCATGACAATGGCACCTGAGAGTGGGTGGGATACATTTGGCAGCAAGTGAACATTTTGTCCCTAAACTTGATGTGTTGAAAGCGAGAGGAAAAAGTAACCATAAGGATTTAAGTGACTCGGATAATGGCCAGATTTTATTGGCAAGATGGCTGGGTCAGGGTAACTCCAAAACTGCAGCTCTTGTGGATGTTCCCGGTCTACAGTGGCCAGGACCGACCAAAAATGGTCCAAGTAAGGAGAGCCAGCAAATTGGTGACAAGGTCAGGAGTGGCCAAGGCTTATTGATGTGGTGAGAAAAGGCTGGCCCATGTAGTCCAACCCAGTCGCAGAGCTACTGTAGCTCTGATTGCTAAAGAAGTTAATGTTGGTTCTAATAGAAAGTTTGTGTCATCATCAGAACTGGACCACAGAGCAATGGAAGATAGTGGCCTGGTCTAATGATTCACATTTTCTTTTACATCCTGTGGCTGGGCAGATGCGTGTGCATTGCTTATCTGGGGAAGAGATGGCACCAGGATGCAGTATGGGAAGAAGGCAAGCCGGGGGAGGCAGTGTGATGCTTTGGGCAAGGATCTGCTGGGAAACTGAGTCCTGCCATTCATGTAAATGTTACCTGACATGTACCACCTACCTAAACTTTGTTGCTGACCAAGTACGCCCCTTCATGGAAATGGTATTTCCTGATGGCTGAGACCTCTAGAAAAGGAAGTTGGGGGCTCCCCACTATAACAAATCAAGTTATGGCACCTCTTCACTGCCTTTTTTAACTTTGTAAATGCCTCATTATCATGCTGCAACTGTGTGCTTTATGGTTAAAGGGTGGTTACGGCACAGTCCCATTCACTTGAATGGGTTGTGTTTGTGGGAGTACTGCCTGCTGAAAGTGTCAGAAGGGTTCTTCTTCTTGTTCTTCCTCGTCGTCGTCCTCTTCTTCGTCCTCCTCTTCTTCCTCCTCCTCCTCTTCTTCCTCTTCTTCCTCCACCTCCTCCTCTTCCTTTTCCTCTTTCTCCTTTCCTTCTTCCTTCTTCCTCTTCTTTTCTCCTTCTTCCTTCTTCCTCTTTCTCCTTCTTCCTTCTTCCTCTTTCTCCTTCTTCCTTCTTCCTCTTTCTCCTTCTTCCTCTTTCTCCTTCTTCCTCTTTCTCCTTCTTCCTCTTTCTCCTTCTTCCTCTTTCTCTTTCTCCTTCTCCCTTCTTCCTCTTTCTTCCTCTTTCTCCTTCTTCCTCTTTCTCCTTCTTCCTCTTTCTTCCTCTTTCTCCTTCTTCCTCTTTCTTCCTCTTTCTCCTTCTTCCTCCTTCTTCCTCTTTCTCCTTCTTCCTCCTTCTTCCTCTTTCTCCTTCTTCCTCTTTCTCCTTCTTCCTCTTCTCTCCTTCTTCCTCTTTCTCCTTCTTCCTCTTTCTCCTTCTTCCTCTTTCTCCTTCTTCCTCTTTCTCCTTCTTCCTCTTTCTCCTTCTTCCTCTTTCTCCTTCTTCCTCTTTCTCCTTCTTCCTCTTTCTCCTTCTTCTCTTTTTCTCCTTCTTCCTCTTTCTCCTTCTTCCTCTTTCTCCTTCTTCCTCTTTCTCCTTCTTCCTCTTTCTCCTTCTTCCTTCTTCCTTTCTTTCTCCTTTTTCCTTCTTCCTCTTTCTCCTTTTTCCTTCTTCCTCTTTCTCCTTTTTCCTTCTTCCTCTTTCTCCTTTTTCCTTCTTCCTCTTTCTCCTTTTTCCTTCTTCCTCTTTCTCCTTTTTCCTTCTTCCTCTTTCTCCTTTTTCCTTCTTCCTCTTTCTCCTTTTTCCTTCTTCCTCTTTCTCCTTTTTCCTTCTTCCTCTTTCTCCTTTTTCCTTCTTCCTCTTTCTCCTTTTTCCTTCTTCCTCTTTCTCCTTCTTCCTCTTTCTCCTTCCTCCTCTTTCTCCTTCTTCCTTCTTCCTCTTTCTCCTTCTTCCTTCTTCCTCTTTCTCCTTCTTCCTTGTGCCTACCCCTGTCCTGCTTAAGGAAGTGGAAGGGCAGCACTAAAAACACAGCTCAACTGCCTGTTTGTTTTTAGCTTCTTCCCCCTTCTCCCAACCGCAAGTCAAAACACGCCCTTAGGGAAATTGGTCCGTAGCTTGATGTCTACCCTTTAGTGCCTTACATAATTCATCCCTCTGGTTCCTCCATTAATGGCATTGACTGTAAAGTGGCCTATAGTTGTGAAGGGTCAGTCACCAATCTGTCCTTGTTGAGTAATGATGGGGCTCAGACTGAGAAAAACACTTTTCTGGGGATTGGTTGGCAAAGCAGTCTTGCTCCTCCTGAGATGGTCCTTATCTGCCTTTACCTCTCCGACCCTCGGTTCAACCAAATCTTTGTTTGGTGGTGAGGTCAGCAGGATTGTGCTGTCATGTTCTACCTTCCTCTAACACCCATCAGCACCATAAGACCCTAAATCTGACCCTTTGCTTGGTCTTCAGGTCGTGAAATTGAAGCAGATTGAGCACACGCTGAATGAGAAGCGGATCCTACAGGCTGTTAATTTCCCTTTTCTTGTTCGGTTGGAGTATTCATTCAAGGTAACTTGCATGGAACATGCTGATTGTGTGTATGGGGTAAAACGCTTTATTTTTTTGCTGTTTCCACCCTCCTGGGCTTTGTTTGTTTTGTTACTAATTTTTTTTTCTTCACGTCTGTGTAACCATCAACTCTCTCTCCCACCCTCTATTGTCATTAGCTTACCTCTGTACATCATGTACATTATATCTCTGAAGCAGCAGAGTATTCTCCCCAGTCTTCTGCAATATTCTGCCTTTATACTCACCATGTATTCTCATGTCTTTTCACTACCTTCTGGCTCTCTGCCAGCAGAATGTCATCACTGCTCTGCTGTAATGTGTCCTGCCGGTATACTATCACTGCCATCATAACTGGTCTTCCTCACTACCCCCTTTCTCTTTACTGCAGAGTAGTAATAGCATTGTGCTGGCAACGTGTCCAGTCTCTATACTATTACTGCCAACATAACCTGTCTTCCCCACTACCTCCTTTCTCTCTGCCAGCAGAGTGTTATCACCACTCTACTGTAATGTGTCTTGCTTCCATATCATCACTGTCGTCATGACCAGTCTTCCTCACTACCACCTATCCTTCTGCCAGCACAGTGTTATCACCACTCTACTGTAATGCATTCTACTTTTATACTATCACTGCCAACATAACCTGTCTTCCTCACTAAATTCTGTCTCTGCCAGCACCATGGTATCACCATTCTGCTGCATTGTGTCTTGCATCTATACTATCACTGCTATCACAATCTGCCTTCCTCACTACCTTCTGTCTCAATGCCAGCACACTGTTAACTCCATTCTGCTTTGATGTGTCCTGCTTCCATACCATCACTGTCCTTTTGATTAGTCTACCTCACTACCACCTGTCTCTCTGCCATCACATTGTTATATTACCACTCTGCTGTAATGTGTCTTGTCACCACCAACATAACTGGTCTAATTTTTGTCTCTGCTAGCACAATGTTGTGTCTATAGTATCACTGCCACCATGACCGGCCTTCCTCACTACCACCTGCCTCTCTGCCAGCGCAGTGTTTTTACCTGTCTGCTATAATGTGTCCAGTCTCTATACCAGGGGTATTGAATTAAAATTCGAGGAGGTCCGGTCACTAAAATTTTCTTCTGGCCAAGTTCCGAAAAGGGTATTCCCCCTTACATTAGGTGTCGCCATCAGAGTGCAACTTTACATCATGTATTCCCATCACATCAGGTGTGCCCGACAGAGTTTCCCTTTACATAAGTTGTCCCCATCACATTGCCCCTTTAGACTCAAAGTACCCCTTTCCATCACGTGTGCCCATCAGGGTGCCCCTTTCCATCACGTGTGCCCATCGGGGTGCCCCTTTCCATCACGTGTGCCCATCAGGGTGCCCCTTTCCATCACGTGTGCCCATCGGGGTGCCCCTTTCCATCACGTGTGCCCATCGGGGTGCCCCTTTCCACCACGTGTGCCCATCGGGGTGCCCCTTTCCACCACGTGTGCCCATCGGGGTGCCCCTTTCCACCACGTGTGCCCATCGGGGTGCCCCTTTCCACCACGTGTGCCCCTTTCCACCACGTGTCCCCCCCAGAGTGCCACGTGTCCCCCCAATCAGAGTGCCACGTGTCCCCCCCAATCAGAGTGCCACGTGTCCCCCCCAATCAGAGTGCCACGTGTCCCCCCCCAATCGGAGTGCCACGTGTCCCCCCCCCCCCAATCGGAGTGCCACGTGTCCCCCCCCCAATCGGAGTGCCACGTGTCCCCCCCCCCAATCGGAGTGCCACGTGTCCCCCCCCCCAATCGGAGTGCCACGTGTCCCCCCCCCAATCGGAGTGCCACGTGTCCCCCCCCCAATCGGAGTGCCACGTGTCCCCCCCCCCAATCGGAGTGCCACGTGTCCCCCCCCCAATCGGAGTGCCACGTGTCCCCCCCCCAATCGGAGTGCCACGTGTCCCCCCCCCAATCGGAGTGCCACGTGTCCCCCCCCAATCAGAGTGCCACGTTCCCCCCCCCAATCAGAGTGCCACGTGTCCCCCCCCTCAGAGTGCCACGTGTGTCCCCCCCCCCCTCAGAGTGCCACGTGTGTCCCCCCCCCCCTCAGAGTGCCACGTGTGTCCCCCCCATCAGAGTGCCACGTGTGTCCCCCCCCCATCAGAGTGCCACGTGTGTCCCCCCCCATCAGAGTGCCACGTGTGTCCCCCCCCCATCAGAGTGCCACGTGTCCCCCCCATCAGAGTGCCACGTGTGTCCCCCCCCCCCATCAGAGTGCCACGTGTGTCCCCCCCCCATCAGAGTGCCACGTGTGTCCCCCCCCCATCAGAGTGCCACGTGTGTCCCCCCCCCATCAGAGTGCCACGTGTGTCCCCCCCCATCAGAGTGCCACGTGTGTCCCCCCCCATCAGAGTGCCACGTGTCCCCCCCCATCAGAGTGCCCCTTTCCACAGTATGTGCCCATCAGAGTGCCCCTTTCCACAGTATGTGCCCATCAGAGTGCCCCTTTCCACAGTATGTGCCCATCAGAGGGCCCCTTTCCACAGTATGTGCCCATCAGAGGGCCCCTTTCCACAGTATGTGCCCATCAGAGGGCCCCTTTCCACAGTATGTGCCCATCAGAGGGCCCCTTTCCACAGTATGTGCCCATCAGAGGGCCCCTTTCCACAGTATGTGCCCATCAGAGGGCCCCTTTCCACAGTATGTGCCCATCAGAGGGCCCCTTTCCACAGTATGTGCCCATCAGAGGGCCCCTTTCCACAGTATGTGCCCATCAGAGGGCCCCTTTCCACATTATGTGCCCATCAGAGGGCCCCTTTCCACAGTATGTGCCCATTAGAGCGCTGCTAAAAGACTACACCCTACCTTGACAAGCAGACAGGAGCTCTGCCAGGATCCTTACTGGACGCTTGTGTAAAGGCAGGGAGCTGGAGAGACAGGGAGCTGAAAGTGGCGGGGCGCACACACCATGTCATGTTGGCGTGGCGGGTCTGCAATTGCAGGCTGGCGGTCCGGGCAGCAGCGCTGCTTGGGCCATTCGTGGACTGCAGTCCGCTATTTATTGACCGCTGCTTTATACTATACCCTGTCTTCCTTACTACCTCTTGCCTCTCAGTGCAGTAAACAGGTGATAACCGTGCACAGTCAGTTTCCTCCCACTATACTATCATTCCATGATCACCAGTCGACCTCACTATCTCCTGCCTGGGGCTCTGTCATCATCCACCTCATTATCACTAGTCTATGGTCTCCTGCCTCTAACATCTCCAGTTTCCCCATTACCTCTCTATTGTTTTTCAGGACAATACTAACCTATACATGGTTATGGAATATGTAGCAGGGGGCGAGATGTTCTCTCACTTGCGCCGGATCGGACGCTTCAGGTATTGTGCTGTTATAATTTGAAAGATGAAGAGAATATTTTCATTCATGTGTTTTGTAACTTCTTGCCTTTCCCTATACAGTGAACCTCACGCCCGATTCTATGCATCTCAGATTGTATTAACTTTCGAGTACCTGCACTCTTTGGATCTAATCTATAGAGACCTGAAACCAGAAAACCTGCTCATAGACCAGCAAGGTTACATACAGGTATTGTACATCCACACGTTGCACCTGGATATCCATCCTACTGCATTGTATGTGTTATCCAGTGTTTCATGTTCAGGTTAGTAAAGTTTCTACCTTTCAGTGGACAGGCATCCCAAGCAGAGCAGAGTCTCTTACCTTCATTTAGTGTCAGAAACCTCTAACTGATCATGCAGTTATCTTTCAAGGGGATGGCAGTAGGTGGATTCAAAGGCTACTAAAAGGAAAAAAAGAACCCTTGGTAGGATATTTAGTGTATTGAAAATCTACCCTTACAATGTAATATGAGGCAAAACAATTTACCATGTAAAAGGAAAAAAATGTAGGAAGTGTGTCCCATGCCCAGCTGACTGCTGCATAGGTGTAGAATCTTCTCCCTACATCCAACAGGTCCTCCCCACAGTGCTGGCACTGCTGAGGTCAACATCAGCCACTGCAATTGTGAAAGAGTTGCACCCTCGCCCTCCTAGTTTATTCATACTTTATTACATAGTTGGTACCATTGAAGACACAAGTCTATCTAGTCCAACTTATGCTAGTGTGTTTGTGTTACTACTGTTTCTCATATCCCTTTATATTGCATTCGCTAAGATGCCCATCGAAAAGTTTTTATTTTAAATACCAACACTTCTTCCTGACACCCAAGGGAAGTTTCACATCCTTACCACTGTAACAGTAAAGAACCCCTTATACAGTTACGTTTTCATCCAACATCGTTGACTGGCCACATGTCCTTGTAAGTGACTTGAGACTGAATAGTTTTCTCCCTATGCTATATATGTATATCACTATCATATCTCCTCTTAAGCGTCTTCTCCAAGAAGAATACGTGTAAAAGAGAAGTATGGGATTACATTTTTTTTTTCCCCCAGTTAAACTTACCTAGGTGGATGCAGCATTGGTCCGATGCAGCATCTGTCCCCCGCCGGGAGAGCTCTGCAATCACATGATCGCTGAGTTCTCACAGCCGCTGTGAGCAGAGAGCGGTGACTGTCAGTCAGTCACCACTGTCTGCTCTGCCCCCCAACCTCCACTGAACCCCCCCCCCCCCCCCGCACTCACTGGAGCGCTGGGCTGTGGAGGGGGAGGGAGCGGCTGGCGCAGGCTCTCAGTGGATCACCTAGAGGCTGAGCCAGGTGCCGCTCCAGACTCTGGGGTGGATCCTGACTTTAAAGTCGGGATCTATCCCCAGCCTGGACCGGCTGAGTGAAGTCAGTGTCGACAGTGGACTTCAGCCCGCTGTCAGCTGAAAACGGGTCACAGGAGTGCAGAACAAACTGCACTTCATGTGATCCAAGGAGAAGTACAGCCAAAGGAGTTTTGGCTGTACTTCTCCTTTTTTAATATAATAAAATGGTATGCAGCGCTAAATAATAAAACAAACATCCATATAACCAAAGTGAGAGTAAATGCATAAGACGGTATAAACCATCAATCAAATATTAAATAGTTCCATAGAGGTAAAGATGAAAGATCAACAATGCCACAGTGGAGATGAATATATTAAAATCCAATCAGGCTTGTGGACGGATCCGGTAAATTAATGCGCTTACCACAAAGACATACAAACAGAGCGTTGTATGTATAATGATGGACATCAGGGCCTGGTCAGCAAATAGGACTGCATCCGGTCACCATGTAAGACCCCCAGGACTGGTGGGAAACACTCCCCAAGGTCATCTCAGGTTTCGCCGGCAGGTCCAACGAAGTCCTCTCCCAATAATACTCCTCTGGATCGCTCCACCTTGATGGGGCTCGTAAATAACGAGCTGTTCACAGACAACCTCCTCCTCTCCTCATGGCTCTGTTTGAAATGGCCGCCTGTGTTGTCCAGACAGCCTGGTACAACAAAACACCTTTTTTTACACTTGCAGTGGCTAATTTTAACCCTAGCAACTCTGAAAGTTCAGCATTGTAGGGAGGAACCAGTAGTATATTTCTACACCAATGCGGCAAATAGTCAGGTACAGGGCACACTTCATTACAGGTATGTTCCTGGTGCTGAATAACAAAAAAAATGGCCTTCAGCTTTAAAGATCACTTGTCAGATATAAAACTGTTATTTGTTACACATGTTTTCATTGAGAAAACACTAGTGCTGTATTTGGGTAGCACTGGACTAACAAAGATGAGATCTGATGGATGTTTTTCAACTTAGTGCCTGTAGATGGAGCTCCTGTCTGCTAAAGGTTAAGCTATTTACATTACTGCTGATTTCCATTGGGTTTCATTTACTGCTCACACTGCCATCTACAGGCTAGATATAAGAAGTGCATTTTTTTTTTTTTATTCTCCAGTGCTCATGTGCACAGGTGCTCTTTTGCCAAAACTGCGGTAAAGTAGAGCTGTTGGTGGCAACTTTCCTTTTTCTTCCCAAAGTGTGTCAAATAATTTTTTTAATTGTACTTGCTGTTTTTTTGTGATCAACGTTCATGAAATTTGTAAATATTTTAGAACTTCAAGTCTCTATGAAGATACTAAGATGTATACACTCACCGGCCACTTTATTAGGCACACCTTGCTAGTACCAGGTTGAACCGGTTGCCTTCAGAACTGCCTCAGTTCTTCATGGCATGGATTCAACAAGGTGTTGGAAACATTCCTCAGAGATTTTGGTCCATATTGATATGAGTGACTGTTTCTATAATCTCAAATCAGTCTGCCCATTCTCCTCTGACATCAACAAGGCATTTTCGCCAACACAACTGCCACTCGCTGGATATTTTCTCTTGTTCGGACCATTCTCTGTAAACCCTAGAGATGGTTATGCCTAAACATCCCATAAGATCAACAGTTACTCAGACCAGCCTGTTTGGCACCAACAACCAGGCCACATTCAAAGTCACTTAAATCCCCTTTCTCCTCCATTCTGATGCTCAGTTTGAACTTCAGCAAGTCATCTTCACTACATCTAGATGCCTAAATGCATTGAGTTTCTGCCATGCGATTGGCCGATTAGCATTTTGTGTTGCCAAGCAATTGAACAGGTATACTTAATAAAGTGGCTGGTGAGTGTATATACACTGCTCAAAAAATTAAAGGAGTCATTTATTTAGGAATTATTCAGAGTCTAGCATCAAATCCATTTAACTCCTGAGATATTGATCTGGTCAGTTAAGTAGCAGAGGGGGTTGTTAATCTGTTTCAGCTGTTTTGGTGTTAATGAACTTAACAGGTGCACTAGATGGGCTACAATGAGATGAACCCCAAAACAGGAATGGTTTTACAGGTGGAGGCCGCTGACATTTTTTTCATTACTCATCTTTTCTGCCTGCATTTGGCTAGGGTCAGTGTCACTACTGGTAGCATGAGGTGATACCTGGACCCTACAGAGGTTGCACAGGCAGTCCAACTCCTCCAGGATGGCACATCAATATGTTCCATTACCTGAAGGTTTGCTGTGTCTCCCAGCACCGTCTCAAGAGCATGGAAGAGATTCCAGGAGACAAGCAGTTACTCTAGGAGAGCTGGACAGGGCTGTAGAAAGTCCTTAACCCATCAGCAGGACCGGTATCTGCTCCTTTGTGCAAGGAGGAACAGGATGAGCACTGCCAGAGCCCTACAAAATGATCTCCAGCAGGCCACCTGTGTGAATGTCTCTGACCAAACAATCAAAAACAGACTTTATGAGGGTGGCTTGAGGCCCGATGTCCTCTTTTGGACCCTGTGCTCCCTGCCCGGCACCATAGAGCTCGATTGGCATTTGCCATTGAATACCAGAATTGGCAGGTCCACCACTGGCACCCTGTACTTTTCACAGATGAGAGCAGGTTCACCCTGAGCACATGTGACAGACGTGAAAGGGTCTGGAGAAGCCATGGAGAATGTTATGCTGCCTGTAACATGGTTCAGCATGACCATTTTGGTGGTGGGTTAGTGATGGTCTGGGGAGGCATATCCATGGAGGGGACGCAAAGACCTCTACAGGCCAGACAATGGCACCCTGACTGCCATTAGGTATCGGGATTAAATCCTTGGACCCATTGTCAAATCCTACACTGGTACAGTGAGTCCTGGATTCCTCCTGGTGCACGACAATGCCCGGCCTCATGTGGCGAGAGTATGCAGGCAGTTCCTGGTGGATGAAGGAATTTTTACTATTGATTGGCCCCCACACTCGCCTGACTTAAAGTGGAGTTCCACTCACACTGTCAAAAAATTAAAAGTCAGCAGCTACAAAAACTGTAGCTGCTGACTTTTAAAAAAAAAAAAAAACAGCCACTCACCTGTCCCTCGATCCCACGGTGTCCTCCCTGCAGCCCGTTTCACCAGCCATCTGGTTCCAGGCGCCGAAATCAGTGTGGGCACCCGGCTGTGACAGCTTGTGGCTTCACATCCGGGTGCTCACTGTGCTGCGCTTCCTAAATGGCCCCGTAGTCTTCTGGGACCTGTCACATGTCCCAGAAGACTACAGGGAGGGTAGGACGACAACTTCTGATCGCCTAGGTGATTGCAGCGGAAGTGGGAGCGGGTACCTGTCAATTTCAGGTATCCCCTCCACAAAGGTGCCAATCCTTAATGGGGAGCGGGGGACCAGTTTTTTAAGCGGAACTTCCCCTTTTGGGTGGAGCTCCGCCTTAAATCCAATAGAACACCTCTTGGATATCATGTTTCGGTCCATCCAACGCTGCCAGGTTGCACCTCAGACTGTACAGGGGCTCAGTGATGCCCTGGTCCAGATCTGGGATGAAATACCCCAGGACTTTGTCAGGCATGTAAAAAAGCACGTGGGGGCCATACAATCTACTGAGTACCATTTTGAGTTGCTGCAATGAAATTTCAGCAAAATGGATTAGCCTGCTGCATCATTTTTTCACTTTGATTTTTGGGGTGTCCTTGAATTCAGTTCTCTGTAGGTTGATACTTTTCATTTTCATCATACGATGGGGCAGCCTTGCGTTCCTAAGACATTACTCGGTCTATATCAGTATAGATATCCAGCATGATAGTTTTTGCCCATTGAGATCTGATGTGTTTTCAAAGTGCTCCTTTGATTTTTTTTTTTTTTTTGAGCAGTGTATAAAGCAGCAATGTTAAAAAAAAAAATAAAAAGATGATGAACATATATTAAGCGCAGCAGTGTGTTTTACACATGTGCATTGCAGGCTAGCGTGCTTTGATGGCTTTTCGGAAGCTGTGTACAGCAGCTTGCTGGGCCCTCCTACCAGCCATAATCTATTTCCATGGCATAGAGAAGCCTAAAAACCTAGTAATTACAACATTTGGGTCAAAAATAAAATTATAATTTTACAAAATGTCACTAGCATGTTGGTGGGGTAGATATCTCAGCAGCTGCAGACATCAGCCCATCTAGATTTGTGTCCAAGAAAAACATGTTAAATCTGAGTTATTGGTCATGTGTCTTCTAGGTGACAGATTTTGGTTTCGCCAAGAGAGTCAAGGGAAGAACTTGGACTCTGTGTGGCACTCCAGAGTACTTGGCCCCTGAAATCATTCTCAGCAAGGTGAGATTTCTTTTTTGGTATTCATTAACCACTTGCCATCTGGGACAGTTTTTGTATTTTTTCACATACAGTACACATTTAAAATTAGCATTGTGTTGCTAGAAAATTACTTAGAACCCCCAGGCATTATATATTTTTTGAAAGCAAAGGCCATGGAGAATAAAATGGTGTTTTTTTTTTTTAAATTTTTGTATGTCACACACTATTTGGATAGCCATTAATCAAACACAAATTTTCAGAAAAAAAATACACTTAAATTAATGTTCGTGCACAAAACACAATGTAAAACCCAAATATTCATTAAAATGTCAAATCTGATGTTGTGTTCAATTCTTGACCAAACATGTCAAGAATTAAAATTGTGCACGCCTGTGGAATGGAGACAAACTACAGTACCTAAAGTTGTTCATAGGCAACTCTTTAAATAAACCTTTCCAGGTTGTCAGTTTACAGTTAAACATGAGCTCTGGCACTAGCATTATTGCTTTCACTCCAGCGTTGACAGCGATACCTTATGCAGGCCATAGACTGTTCGTTTATCGGCCGATTTTTTTTGTCCGAAAAAATAATCGGCCGATTTTCACACTGTTAGTGGGGCAATGGCATCGGCCGATTTTCGCGGTTCCTCCTCATTTCGTTTATCGGTCATGCTGAAAAATGTGTGAAAAATGGCCTATTTTTGCAATCATTGGTGGCAACGTCAGTTTACAGAACAAATGATGTTTCGTTTTTCAGACAATAAACGAACCGTCTATGGCCTGCAGTACATGTGTGGTGCAATCACTGTTTACATGTGTGCCACACCCAAGTGTGTGCCTTCCTTTTCTTGCAAGCATGAAGAGACAAGGATGCTTTGAATTTTTTTTTTTGTTATTCTTTTTCATTTAACTTTTTTGAACTTGTTATTCGTGAACAAGCCTGTTGTGATAGCTTGGGGCAGTGACAGGTACTCTTTACTGAGTCATCAGGGGTGTCTTAGACCTTTGATATCTCCCCTGCCCTTTAAAGCATCTGATCAAACGTAGATGTGTTTGATCAGATGTTTTCATGGCTGTACTGGCCAGGGACCGACGGCGCTGAAACTGGAAGTGACATAATCCCTGTTGCTTCTGGTTTTGTTTTGTCACAGAGGAGATAGGGAAATGGATGTCGTCTTTCCCCTCCGTGGGCAGCTGATCTGGCCGCTTACATCCCAGTGTTAGGCAGGAGGAGGAGGCTCCCTTCCGAGTGATGATGTAAAAGCGTTCGGGAGGCTGTAAAGCCGTTCGGATAACTTTTTACTGGAAAACAGATTGCTGGCTCTAGGGAAAAAAAAAAATGGCTGACATGATCCCTGTATAATCTCTTGCAGCTAAGGCTGTATATATACGATCTACAGCAGGCAAGTGGTAAGATAACAAAGGCCTTCTATGAGATTTCTCTGTGCTTAGACTTTGTGCCTTCATGAACGCAGTATTTGTGGCTTATAGCAGCAAAAGTGGATGTACTATTCTTGAGCACTTTAGATGAAGGACATATGAAGGATAATTTAAAGACATCTATGCTTAAGTGACGCTGCTTTGAGAAATGACAACCTACAGCAGCAGTAAAGTGAACATACATGCTTCTGTAATTGCCCTCCTGCAGGATTTTGTGTGTGTGTGAGTGTGTGAGTGTGTGTGTGTGTCTCCGTCTCCCTCCCATTAACACGTGTGCTATCAATTGTCAGCAAGGTCACATTTTAAACTAGTTTGATGTATTTGCATGTCTCTAAAATATGAACATTTGTTTTATTTATATATAATTTTCCTCTCTCTGTTATCAGATAAACTTCATTTTGCATGCTGTTACTCACACCCATACAACGTGCAAGCTAGCACTACTTAAACAGACTTGTCAGCTATTTTAACAGCAAGTAAAAAAAGTAAAAGTTCTGCCTAAGAGCAGGGACCACAGGGTGCCTGTTATTACCTTTTATGGCCCATTTACGCAATGTGGTGCACTGTACCTAAAGTAGAGTTCACCTTTGGGACCTTGTTTTATGTTGTACTTCTATTTAGGGTGTAACATAGAACATCACATATCCACTCCCACCCCGATTTTTACCTGAATGACAGGGAGTTTCTGGAATTTAATATGGCTGTGCATGGCTCAGCCTGCACAGTTGCCTGCATCAATTTAGATGTCTTTTAATAGAAATGTTACAGGTCCTATCTGACACCGCTGCAGAGGGACTCCTAGATCTCAGTGGAGCACAAGTATGGTGATGTCAATACACTTCTAGGCTAATATATACTTACTCCAGCCCCTATAACTGAAAATGAGTCCAGAGGGCTAGGGGAAGTAATTAAAGGAGCATTTGCATTGCACCTACCATGCACTCATCATGGTTGCAATGTTCTGTGGGCTTCAATGCAAACATTTAAAGCAGAAGTCCAGTCAAAATCTAACTAAGCTTAAAGCTACGTCCACCCCCATTGCAAGCATAGGGCATACAATGGGGGTGGGGGTAGGTATAAGCTTAGTTAGGTTTTGACATGTCTTTTCTACTTTAATAATTATTTTGCTAAAGGTGACTATGCCTTTTTTAAGCTGCCCATTCAAAATAATTGTTCTGCAATTCAGTGCATGAACAAGTAGGTGCTGTTTGCATTTTATCGCAACACATTGTAGCTCCGGAACACCATGCATTGTGCTGCATTGCTTTGCAGCACATGTGCATTTTGGAAGTACTTTGCAGTGCCATTCACAATTAATTCAGTTCTTCAAAACATGTAGGATCAGACCAAGACTGTAACTGTTATTCTGTTGTGCAATGTGAGTCCCTTATTTTGTGACCTTCTCATTGGTCTCAGTTAGGGGGGGGGCCTAGGTCCAAAAAAAAAAAACAAAATAAGCTCAGTTTCTATTAACAGGCGAAAACTACTTTTGATGCTCACAAACACAATGTAATACCCACATTTTTGGTAATATAGAAAATATTATGGTGTTGCACAGAGTAAATAGATACCAAACATGTCACGCTTTAAAATTGCGCACGCTTATGGAATGGTGCTAAACTACGGTATTTAAAAATCTCCATAAGCGACACTTTATATGCCTTTACAGGTTACCAGTGTAGAGTTACAGAGGACGTCTGGTGCTAGAATTATTGCTCTCGCTCCGACGTTCGCGGGGATACTTCACATATGTGGTGTGATAGCTGTTTACATATGCGTATGAGACCAATGCGTGCGTTCACCTTTGCACGTGAGCAAGGGGGGGGACGGGGTACTTGAACTTGTACACTGTGACAGACGCTGTTGTGCCCTGTGCACTGTGACAGACGCTGTTGTGCCCTGTGCACTGTGACAGACGCTGTTGTGCCCTGTGCACTGTGACAGACGCTGTTGTGCCCTGTGCACTGTGACAGACGCTGTTGTGCCCTGTGCACTGTGACAGACGCTGACATGTGGACAGGGACAAATGGTGCTTGGTGCACTGGTGTGGCATGGCTGCAAATCTGTGTAACTGATGAATAAAATCATCAGCTACACAGATCAGCTGTTCACAGTTTGCAGCATCCCCCGCCCCCCACACCCTACTGAGCTCTCAGAGCTCATCGGAGGGAAACTGCTACAGGGACACGTGTCTCTGTTGACCTTCTGAGATGGCTGTGATTGGACACAGAGAGCCCATATCCCGATCCGTAATGAGCTGTGTCCGAGGGACACAGCCATCACAGAATCGTGCTGCTGCGGGGCCTCAGGGCCACATACAGGCACGTGTTCTGAGGGACGTACAGGAACGTCCACTCAGAACGGGGAAGGTCCAACCTGGCCATTTATGTACATTGGCCAGGTGGGAGGTAGTTAGGAGTACACACAGAAGGAGGTTTTTCTGACTTAGGGTAAACCCAAGTACACTGTGGTGGCTGCTCTTTGGCTGACAGGTACACTTTATTCTGCTAACTATTGCCAGGCAGCAGTGATCAGGAGCAGGCAGTCAGTGGGCCTGATTTCACTGAAGTGTGCCGTGAACACAGACATCCAATCTCATGCAGGTGAATTAAAAAAAAAAAAAAAAAAAAAAAGCAGAGCTCCTTTTGCATGATTGGCTGTTTGAACGTGGTTTCACCTCACTGCACTTCACATTTATGCAAGTCCTATATTTTTGGTTCCCAACTCCTTCCCTGTGATCATGACTGTATAAAAGGAACATGCACAGTTTTATTTACACCCCAAGGCTGTGTGTGCAATAAGGGATCATTCTCACCAATGTTCATGCTGTACACCGCCCAGAACAGCCTATTTCTGCGGCAAGTGTGGCCAGGGGTTTGAGATTGACGTCTGACAGGAAGCCTGTAAAATCAATGACGGGCTGACACTGTCCAAGGCTGACGGAGTGATTATATACAGCTAGGAACAGATGAGTTGCTCTACGTAGACAAGGGCAGCTTATCGGTCCACAACCACGAGTGATCCCTCCATAGGAGTTTACATATGGACAGCTACAGAGACTGTCATCGATTTGTACAGGCTTCCTGTTCGCAGCTGTTCAGAAACACCTAGCCATACCCGCCACAGAAATACACTGATCTGGGCATTGTAAGGCTATGACGCGCATGCGACTGAGCCCTACATTTAATTGTTAAACTGGCTCTGCAATGTAGGAAGAAACCCCCATATCAGGACCTAGATCTGCTGTTGATGGGTATTGAAGGATTGTTAATGTCAGACACATCACATATCCTAATACACACAGTATTGACAGGTTGCTCACAAGCTCATTACCCAACGGTGTGTTTATGGATTTTGTGAGGAGACCGGCACGCAAACATGGGGAAAATCCAGACTCCACCTGTATAGGCTGGCATTTAGGAACCTGCACAGGGCTCCAGCAGTGCAATCACGCCAGCTCTTGGTTTATAATGGCATGCATTCTCTCTTCTGTTTCCTAGGGATATAATAAAGCTGTGGACTGGTGGGCGCTCGGTGTCCTGATTTATGAGATGGCTGCAGGTTATCCTCCATTCTTTGCAGATCAGCCAATTCAGATCTATGAAAAGATTGTATCTGGGAAGGTACACGATCCATGTTTTTTGGGTTTTTTTTTTTTCTAAAGCTGAACTCCGCAGTGAAATACACAAGATAATACATTAATGGTAGTTGTTTTAGCTGCCAAAGGATTTGTATTTGTCTATCCATTCCCGACTCTTGCAGTGAAGCCAGATGGATGACACAACTTGAAGTATATCCAAACCCAAGAACCAAAAATGTATATATTGAAACTTACCAGATCTTGGATGTGGTGGCTGCATTGGTTTTTTTTTTTTTTTTTTTTTAAGCTAAAGCAGAATTGCAGAGTAAACTAACTACTTTTACTTATAAATACTCCCTCCCCCATTCCTAACACTAATGCTTACCAACCTGTGAAAAAAAAGATGCATATACTTACCTATTTACATGCCACTCCACTGTTGTCATGTGATCCGGCTCCCCTCCGCTGCAAAGGGAGAGAAGGGAGCTCTGACTACAGGTGGGCCATAGTAAGTCTAGGGGTGGCGTCACCCCTCGTGCATTACCAGCCGTTGTTGAGCTCTCTTTCCTCTGTCCTGTAGTCGGCAGCTGGCTGACACTGGTAATTCTGTGACCAGACTGGTGCGACATGAAAATAGGTAAGTATTCACATATTTCTTACACAGGTTAGTAAGCATAGGTGTTAAGAGGGGGAGTGTTTTTAAGGTTAGTTAGGGACACCCGGAATTTTTCAAGTACATATCATGCTAGTCCATGTAATTTCTCAAGCACTGAACTGAAATCTCAAACAGTGTTATCAGCTTTTACCTGCTCTTTTCTGCAATCTACATTAGGCTGCCTTCTTTGTAATGGAGATGAAAAGAAGGGGAATGTGTTTGTAGTTCAAATAAGAAGATCTGGCTATGGCTCCTCCATAGAAACCGTAAAGTCTGTTGTCACTGTAGGAGAGGAAATGTATTACCAGCAGGATCATTAGGTAAAAATTGAAGGAAAAAATCCTGAAAAAGCCACCCAAGGATTGACAATCTTGTAATATATGAAAATGTTGTTCTTTATTTTTTATGCAATTTAGGGAATACAATGGTGTATTTTCTATTCCCCTAACCACCTGACTAGACAGAGCAGCATTAGTCTGAGGTCATCCATCTGCTCACTGGCCTGTTAACATAGTTCTTGGAAATGTTGTTGCATGCAGCAAAACTGATTGACTCCCAGGCTTGGTGCTGCAGTATAGGGGACTGCACGCTGGTAGCATTTAAAAAATTTTTTTTAATTATTTATTAATGAATACAGAGCTGCATTTATTAGTGTCTTCTAAATCTGCCTAGAGTTCAGCTTGAATTGTATCCACTCCAAGGCTTCCCATTTTCCCTTACTGAACTCTGTTACTTCTACAGGTACGCTTCCCCTTCACACTTCAGCTCTGATCTGAAAGATCTCCTCAGAAACCTTTTGCAGGTTGACCTTACCAAACGATTTGGGAATCTGAAGAATGGCGTGAGTGATATCAAGGGCCATAAATGGTTCAGCACCACGGACTGGATTGCAGTCTATCAAAAGAAGGTATGTGACAAGGTTGTAGGAGAACTTGAACATAAAAAGAAAAGTTGAAGGATGAATTTGTTAACCAAAAAAGAAAAAAAGTTTCTTTACCCTGAAACCAGCCTCTAGATACAGGGTAAGCTATAATTTTTGTAGTACCAGCTGGGCCCTGCTCACAAGAGCATACAATCTATTACATGCACATCTTGTACAAAATACAGGGCTTTTCCACCAAGGTACATAAGTTCCAGGCGTCAGCCAAGGTGTCTTTAGAAGCAGGTGTAAGTGATCTCTGACATTTGTCCCCTTGGTACAAATATAAGTAGTACAAGTGTATCTCTATAAATTAGAATATCATCAAAAAGTTAATTTATTTCAGTAATTTAATTCAACAAGTGAAACTCATATAATAACTAGATTCATTACACACAGAGAGATACTTGAAATGTATCATTCTTTTAATTTCGATGATTATGGCTAGTGAAAACCCAAAATTCAGTATTTCAGAAAATTAGAATATTGTGAAAAAGTTTGATATTGTAGACTCATGGGGGTTTATTTACTAAAGCTGGAGAGTGCAAAATCAGACTCACTTCTGCATAGAAACCAATCAGCTTCCAGGTTTCATTGCCAAAGCTTCATTGAACAAGCTGAGGTTAGAAGCTGATTGGTTTCTATGCAGAAGGGAGTCTGATTTTGGACTCTCCAGCTTTAGTAAATAAACCCAATGGTGTCACACTCTAATCAATGAATTAACTACTAACACCTGTAAGGGTTTCCTGAGCCTTTAAATGGTCTCTGAGTTTGGTTCAGTAGGTTACACAATCATGGGGAAAACTGCTGACTTGACAGGTGCCCCGAAGACAGTCATTGACACCTCCACAAGGAAGAGAAGTCACAAAAGGTCATTGCTAAAGAAGCTGGCTGTTCAGAGTGTATCCAAGCATACTAATGGAGAGTTGAGTGGAAGTAAAAAGTTTGGTAGAAAAAGGTGCACAAGCAGCAGGGATAACTGCAGCCTTGAGAGGATTGTGAAGCAAAGGCCATTCAAGAATTTGGGGGAGATTGACAAGGAGTGGACTATGACTGATGTCAGTGCTTCAAGAACTACCATACAGATGTATCCAGGACATGGGCTACAACTGTCGCTTTCCTTGTGTCAAGCCATTCCTGAGCCAGAGACCACGTCAGAAGCGTCTTATTTGGAATAAGGAGAATAAGTACTGGACTGTTGCTCAGTGGTCCAAAGTCCTCTTTTAGATGAAAGTAAATTTTCCATTTCATTTGGAAATCGAGGTCCTAGAGTCTGGAGAAAGAGTGGAGAGGCACATAAGCCAAGTTGCATGAGGTCCAGTGTGAAGTTTCCACAGTCAGTGATGATTTGGGGAGCCATGTTATCTGCTGGTGTTGGTCCACTGTGTTTTATCAGGTCTACAGTCAGTGCAGCCCTCTACCGGGAAATTCTAGAACACTTCATGCTTCCCTCTGCTGACCAGCTCTATGGAGATTCTGATCTAATTTTCCAAAAGGAATTGGCACCTTCCTGCACAGCCAAAAGTACCAATACCTGGTTTAATTATCATGGTATCACTGTGCTTGATTGGCCAGCAAGCTTGCCTGACTTAAACCCCATAGAGAATCTGTGGGTATTGTCAAGAGGAAGATGAGAGATACCAGACCCAGCAATGCAGATGAGCTAAAGGCCACTATCAAAGCAACCTGGGCTTCCATAACACCCCAGAAGTGCCACAGGCTGATTGCCTCCACACCTGATGCAGTAATGCATGCAAAAGGAGCCCCGACCAAGTATTGAGTGCATACTGTAGTAAACATGGATATACTTTTCAGTAAGCCAACATTTCTGTATTAAAAAAACATTTTTTTTTTCTTCTTATGTAATATTCTAATTTTCTGAGATACTGAATTTTGGGTTTTCACTAGCTGTAAGCCATAATCATTAAAAGAAAGAAATGCTTGAGATATATCACTCTGTGTGTAATGAATCTAGATAAGTTTCAGTTTTTGAATTGAATTACTGACATCAATTAACTTTTTGATGATATTCTAATTTATTGAGATGCACTTGTCCATTATATGGCCAAAAGTTTGAGGACATCCAACCATCTCCCCTATATGAGATTTTTGGTCATCCTTTTCCAAAACCGTGGACATGGTTTGCAGCTATAGCAGCCTCTACTCTTCTGGGAAGGCTTTCCAAGAGATTTTGGAGTGAATTTGTAGTTATCAGCCAAAAGAGAATTTGTGAGGTCATTTACTTTTTTTGGACAAGAAGATCTTGGTCTGCTGTCAGCGATACAGTTCATCGAAACTGGTCGATGGTGTTGAGGTCAGGACTCTGTCCAAGTCATTTAAATTCCTCTAAGACAAAACGCCTCAAGCCATGTATTTTATGGAGCTGACTTTGGGCCCAGGGCACAGTCATGCTAGAACAGTAAAGGACCTTCCCTGTTGCCACAAGTTCGAAAGCACACAGTAGTCTAAAATGTCTTTGCTGCAACATTGACAGTACCTTTCGCTGGACACGCCTGATTTCGATAGTCTTTGCTGCAACATTGACAGTACCTTTCGCTGGACGCACCTGATTTCGATCGTCTTTGCTGCAACATTGACAGTACCTTTCGCTGGACGCACCTGATTTCGATTGTCTTTGCTGCAACATTGACAGTACCTTTCGCTGGACATGCCTGATTTCGATCGTCTTTGCTGCAACATTGACAGTACCTTTCCCTGGACACGCCTGATTTCGATCGTCTTTGCTGCAACATTGACAGTACCTATCCCTGGACACGCCTGATTTCGATCGTCTTTGCTGCAACATTGACAGTACCTTTCGCCGGACACGCCTGATTTCGATAGTCTTTGCTGCAACATTGACAGTACCTTTCACTGGACACACCTGATTTCGATAATTTTGGAGGTATTTCCACATACTTTTGGCTACATAATAGGTATGATGCTCAGGTGTTTGCCCATAAACATTTGAGCATGTACTGTATTGTATTTTCTTATGAGAACCTTGTTGATCCTGTCTGATCTCAAAATGATGCAGATAGGGACAGTTCTGATGACTGCACCATCGACGTGGTTGTTGGGAGATAACTTGCATCTATATCTACAAGAAATGTAAATGTTGTTAGATAAGCTGAAGTGGGATTTCATGGTTATATTTAGATCCAGTGCACGGAAAGGAGGTGGAGTTGGATTCCTTCTATCCCCACTGAGCACCTTTCAAGTTCTTCCTACCCCTCCCTCTCTATCCCTCTCTTCTTTTCAGACCCACTGTAGTCATCTGTTTTTCTCCATTTTTCTCTCATATCTCTACGCTCCTGGCAACCTCACCAACAACCCCTTTCCTCTCTCTGATCACAGCCTCATCAGTTTCACAGTGTCCTTGTCTTCAACCACCTATCCTTCTAAGCATCAAATGATTACTTGTAGAAATCTTCACCATTTTAACCCTTCGCTTCTCTGCTCTGCTACTGACCACCTCTGACAAAATCTCACTGCTGTCCTGCTCTAACCTGGCCATGTTCTGTCTACAAAAGGTCACTCTCATGCTCGCTGAACACACTTGCTCCTCTAACTACACAGTCAGGCCTCAACCATTACAACCTTGGCAAATGACAACACTGGAAATCTCAAGAGACATAGTGGTATTCTTGACTGGCGTATAACTAAATCCCTGCAAGACTTCACCCTGTACAAATTTGCCCTCCCAAAATACAGTTCCTGCTTCTATGCTGCCAAACAAACCTACTTTGTCTCTCCTATTAATACCTTGTCATCCAGTCCTTGTCGGCTCTTCTCTCCCTTTTAACTCTCTACTTTGTCTTCCCCTCTCACCTCCACCCCACTAACTCACTCGCTGCCCAGGAGATTGCCAATCACTTCATAAACACAATGGATGCAATTTGTGTGGACATCTCCACTGTACAGATATCTTCCCCACTTAAAATATCCCATCTAACAGCACATTCAATACTTTCCTCTTTTGACCTTGTCGCTACTGAAAAAGTTACCAAACTCTTCTCAGATACCCACCTAACCATTTGTCCCCTAGTCCTTGTTCCCTCCACAACTACTAAGGTCACCCACGTTTTCTATCCAATGCTCCGTCACTCACATCTTCAATCTCTCCGTATCCCTGGCACTTTGCCCCCCCCCCCCCCCCCCACCTCTCTAAAGCATGCACAGATCACCGCCACACTTAAAAAGGCCTCACTGAACCCACCAACCTGGACAACTTAAGACCCATCTCGTTGCTCCTATTTACCTCTAACCTTTTAGTCTACAACTGTCTGAGCTCTTACCGCACTGGAAATATTCTTCTTGACACCTTACAGTCTGGCTTTCGCTCGCAGCACTCCACAGTAACTGCCTTACCAAATCTCACTAACCATTTGCTAACTGCTAAAAACAATGGCCACTATTCCATATTCTTACTACTAGACCTTTCTGCAGCCTTTGATACTGTTGACTACCCAATCTCCTCAATACACTCCACTCCCTTGGCCTCCAAATTTTGGCTTTTCCTGGTTCTTCTCCTACCTATCACAGCAGTCCTTCAGTGTCACCTACTTCTTTTCTCCATCTACACCTCTTCTCTTGGTCACTTGATAACCACCCACAGCTTACAATGCCATCTCTATGCCGTCGACACCCAAATCTATTTCTCTGCTCCTCACTTCAGTCTCCCCTGCCATTACAAACTTACTATCTGACATATCAACATGGATGTCGCACCACTTCCTCAAACTAAATCTCTCCAAACAGAGCTGGTAATATTCCCCCCACTTGTGCCCTCCTCCATGACTTTTCCATCAAAGATTAATACAACTATCTGTCCCTCCCCTCATGCCAGGGTACTAGGTGTAATCCTAGACTCTGATCTCTCCTTTCAACCCCAAATCCAATCACTGTCCAAATCTTATAGACTTCACCTCCGTAACATCTCTAAAATTCTCCCCTTTTTAACTAATAAAATCGCCAAGCTCCTCATTCACTCCCTTGGGTTATCTCTTGCCTTGACTATAGCAACTCATTTCTCA